CCAAGCCCCCAGCTTGGTGTGTGGGAGACCTACTTCTCAGGGTATTGGAGACACCTGTCCACCCCTCCAATCAGCAGAGAGGACCGGAAGAAGTAGCTCCGGAGCCTGCAGCACAGAAACTGTTCCACCATGGACCAGGAGATGGCGCTGTTCTCTCACAGGTCTCCATAGGTGTCAGGCACTGCCTCGTTGGAATTTTTTTTTTTTTTTTTTTTTTTGGTTGAGGTTTTTTGTTTTGCTTTGTTTTGTTTTGAAGGGGGAGGAGGAAAGGGATGGGTGCTGGGGTTGTAGGAACCTACCTCCTGGGAAGCTTTGGGTTTTGTCACTTCTTTCTGAACTTAACATCAGGCCTGGAGTTTACTACCTCTTTCCACCATGGGCCTCCCACCATGGGCCACCCCTTCCCCAGGGCAGTGCCCCGAAAGGCCCCATTTCCACAGAAGCCTCAAACAGAAAGAGCCCCCACTGTTACCGCTAGGCCTCTTCTAGGTCCTGGAGCCTTGTGAAAATGTGATTAAGTGTCCTTCTGGGCATGGTGGTACACTCCTAGTCCCAGTTGCTTGGGGGCTAAGGTGGGAAGATCACTTGAGGCCAGGAGTTCAAATCCAGCCTGCATAACATAATGAGTCTCTATCTCTTCAAAAAAAAAAAAAAAAAAAAAGTGTTTAGCTTTAAAAAAAAAGTGACCTTTCTCTCAATACCACACAACTGACCTATCCTCACCATGTGTTAATAATTGCATAACCTTTCAAGGAATTCTGGCCTCCCATGTTAAGACTACCTGAGCAAGCCCAACTCTTCATTTTCTAGGAAACTGAGGCCCAGAGGCGCCAATGGCTTCCCAGAATCTCAGTGTTGCACGAACGCTAGCACCTGACTCTGATTCTGGGTCTGCAATTTCCAGACGTGGGAGGGTGTGATTCAGAGTGGGGTGTAGCAGAGACAACGAGCACAGCTGCTACTGGAGGACCATGAGCTAGAGGAGGAGGGACAGGGGAGCTTGGCCTTTTTCCAGTGCGGTCTCTAAGGCTGACAGGGATAACCCAGTCAGGCTCCCTGCAAAGCACGAGGAGGGGAGAGCCACATCTTCCTTGTACTCCTCAGGAGATGCCCCTAGCCTGCCCAAGCACTGGGGGGAGCTAGGAATGGGGGTGAAGAAGGCTGAGGGGGCCAAAGGGAGTGGCACTAGCAAGATGAGTGGGGTTGCACAGAGGGGCGCACTGTGTACCTTTTCCCAGGCTTCCCTGTCTCTGGCTGCCATACTCCCCTCCACTTTTTTTTTTTTTTTCGAGATAGAGTCTCACTGTGTCACCCTCCGTAGAGTGCTGTGGCGTCACAGCTCAAAGCAGCCTCAAACTCTTGGGCTTAAACGATTCTCTTGCCTCAGCCTCCCAAGTAGCTGGGACTACAATCACACACTACAACACCAGCTATTTTTTGGTTGTAGTTGTCGTTGTTTAGCAGGCAACCTCAGTGTATGTGGCCAGCACCCTACTCACTGAGCTATGGGCACCAAACCCTCTCTCCTTTCTATATCCCCCTAAGCCTAGGTAACCTTTATTCCACACAGAACCTGCCAGGTTAAGCTCAGGTTGTGGTGGGGGATGAAGGGCATGTGTGGGTCAGAAACAACAGAGTCAAATGTGGGATGGCGCCACCGGCAGGGTTCTGGGCATTCTCTGCCCCAGGCCAATGGTGTTACTGGTTTGGCCACCTCCAAAGTGGGCACAGAGGAGAGCAGAGGCTACGGTGGGGGCACCAGCTGTTTCTCAGGCTGAGAGCATGCTGTCAGTGGTTCAGCCATCCGAAAAAGCTGCTGTGCTTAGCAGTGCGGCAAACAAGCTGGGAAGAAGGGGGGGTCCATGCCAGCTGCCTGCTGGCTGGTGGCAAACACATGTGTGGTGTGCAGAAGGTGTGGCCACAAGGCACTCACAGTCTCCAGTGAAGTGAGTTGATCCCTGGTGCCCTGGACCAGCTTCTCAGGGATCAGAAGACTTCTCAGTCTCTCTCTATGTTATTGGTTTAAGGCATTGAGGGACTCAGGGTAGGGTAGAAAAAGAGCTGAACTTGGAGGCAAAGTGACATGGTTTCTGGGATTGGAATGATCACTGATTTACTGGGTGAGCCTGGACAAGTCATTAGCCCACTCCAGGCTGTAGTATCACCCTGTATAAAAAGGGCAGAGTTGAGCTGGATCATCTATGACCTTAGATAAGCCACCTAATATCTCTGTGCCTCAGTTCCTTATCTACGAAAAGGGGACCCCACCAATTTCTTCACTGGGTCATTGAGAGGATCCAATAACAAGTTCCTAGCACGGTTCCCTGGGCACAGTAGGAGCCTATTTACGTGAATTCCCCTGTCCTTAAGCCTCCAGACCGGGTGTGTCAGGGATCCTAGGAAGGGGGAAGGCCACCCTCCCGTCCCTGCTCGCCCCACCCCCAAACTCAAGGGTCTTCCCAGAGTCAAAGAGCACAACAAAAGCTCAGGGGTGGGGACCCAAGGTCTGGTCCCACCTGGCCTGCCTTGCTCAGGGGGCGGGGGCTGTAAGAGGGATGGGCTGCATCCCTCTGCATTTTGGCGGCAATGGCAATGCCCCAGCACCCCCGCAGCCCGCCTCCCGCTCTCTCCGGCTCCCTCCCGCTCCCCTCTGCCTATAAATAGCAGAGGACGTGCTGGCCGTGGCGGCGATGACGCGGCTGGGCAGGCGGAGGGGAATGAGGCAGCTCTGCCAGAGCGGGTGGGCGGCGGGCACGGCTGCGGGAGGGGTGCGCCGCCGCCGGCCGCTTGGTGCCAGGCTCCCGATGACGGGCGCGATTGAGTCATCTCAGCCCCGCGGTCCGCGACTGTCCTCGCCGCCAGCGTTTCTGTCTAGGGCTCAGGGGCGGTAGTGGCCAGGTTGATTTCAGGTTGGTTTTGAGCCCCTCCCAGACTCCGGCACAGCCAGTCTCGGAGGACACTTCTGGGTGGGCAAGAACAGTCCTGACCGTCCTGGCGCAGAGGTGCGTGCCCGCCCACCCCCATCCCCACGCGACTCAGGTGCGTCCAACTAGAAAGTGATCACAGCCCTGCTTCTTTTCCCTCCAGTGTCTCCAAACCACCTCCCCCTTTCCTCAAGTGCTGTCGGGGTCATTCTCCCCAGACCCCACCCTTCTCAGGCTGCTGGTGTGGGAGTGGGTAAGGAGGCATGGGGGAGGCTGCTGTGTCTACACCAGTTCCAACGCCTCTCCTTTCTGAGATCCCCAAGTTCTCTTTTTTTTTTTTTTTTTTTTTTGAGACAGAGCTTCAAGCTGTCGCCCTGGGTAGAGTGCTGTCACATCACAGCTCACACAACCTCCAACTCCTGGGCTCAAGCGGAGTCTCCTGCCTCTGCCTCCCAAGTCCGCCTGGCTATTTTTTGGTTGCCGCTGTCATTGTTGTTTGGCGGGCCAAGCTGGATTCGAACCCTGCCAGCTCAGGTGTATGTGGCTGGCGCCTTAGCCACTTGAGGCACAGGAACCGAGCCAGGAGTCCCCAAATTCTTCTGTCCTCACCCTCACCCTAATAAGTACCCCCCAGGGCATCACCCTGTCTCTCTGCCCCTTTCCTTTTTCTGTCCCAATTATATACACAGAGCAGACAGGCTGGGACAAGAAACATTTAATTAGGGTTCTGGGGGCTCAGCAATACCCCAGCAACCCATCATGCAGCCTCATGTACAGTGGGCATTGGGCCCACCCCTGGGAAATTGCTGGGGGGGCCTCATGGCAGCAAACAGGGCAGTGTAGCTTGAGCCCCCTCTGTGGGGGAGAAGTGGGGTAGGGGCCTTTGGGCAGGAGGATCTGTGTCCCTCTCATTGCATGGAAGGGTGTGACTGTGCCCAGGCTGGGGAGTGGCACTGGTTGGCATGATCCAGAGTCCTCTTTGTGTGTGCCCACCTCCTAAGGATGCCTACTCCCTTCCTTTCCTGGGGACCAAACAGAATTTCTACTTCCTTCTCTGTCTTCCACCCCCTCTTCTTCCCAGGGCTCTGTGTCCAGGACAAAGGAGCAGATACAGCCAGAAAAGGGGCTCTTGCAGCAGCAGCCCTGGTCCCTGTAGAGCCCAGAGAGAGGGGGTAAGGAAGGTCACCCTGAGGGTTGGGCTCCTAGAGTGGCTTGGCCTTGGTGAGGCCTGGGATAGGAACTGACAATGACAGGCTCCCCTGGCTGGTTTTCCCACATGCTTGGAGGCTTTTGGGAAAAAATGAGCCCAGTGAAATGGGCTTGTTTAGATAAAACATAGGCCAGTGTTTGCTCTCAGCTGGTTTTCTGTGTCCCGCTGCTCCCAGGTACCCTTTTCTGGTGGACAAGGGTAAGGTGAGGCTGTTCTGTGGTGATGGTTGTTTTACTTGAAGGGACAGTCTAATTTGTCACACCCTCTGGGGATCTCAGCCCTCCCCTCCTTTGTCGGCCCAGGTTTCAAGTAATGGGAGAGGTTCCTGCAGAACTTTCCTGAGAATTGACAGAGTGACAGAGGTGGTGGGACAAGGAGGTGGACTCAGGACCCTCCCATGTGGCCCTGAATTGCCTCCCTGCCCAGGATGGAGAGACAAGGGACACAGAGAGGCCCCCTCTCAAAGCCCCACTTGCAAAGGGGAAGACACATGTTGACCCAAGCAGAGACTCTGAGGGGAGAGAGGTGTGTCTGGCATGCAAAGGTGGTGTGTGTCAGGGGGAAGATTCTGGAAGAAGCAGAAGAGATGTTCCCCCCAGGAACCTTCACCAGGGCTGGACTCAACATAGCAATTGGATTGGGGGTATTTGGGCGCTGGGTGGACCTGTCTGCAGCTTCCTCATTCCCTCCCTCTTTGTCCTCCCTCCACCCCAAAGTCCCAGAGGATCAAACCACTCAGTTCACCGCACCCAAGAAATAAACCTTCCTCTGCACAGAAGGCTCCTAAGCCATGGTACGTGGCACCGAGGAAAGAGGCAGAGGAGGAAGGGTGTGGGCAAGGATGCCTACTCCCCTCCTGGGGCCAGAGGCAAGGGCTGGGCATGGGCAGGGGTGGCATTTGGGTTCTCTTGGCTCCTCTCAGATCTCGGTCAGGGCGTCGGCTGGCACCAGGCCCCGTTTCTTGCCGCTGCTGACGCGGATGAAGCCGTCAGCATCCTTGCTTCTGCCCACACCCACGCAGATCTGAGCCAGAGAGACATGGAACTGAGGCTTGGCCCTGCCTGCAGTCCTGGCCCCAAGTCCTTCTGGTGGTCCCCAGGGGACCATGGGAGGGAGCCTTTGTTAGGGTGACTGACAAGAGCAGATCCTATGAGCATACAGGGTTCCACAGCAAAACCAGGACATCAGGAGATACCCAGCACTACTTCAGGGCTAAGCTTGGACATGGGTGGGGCATTAGACCCCCATTTCACAGAGGAGGGAATAGAAAGAAAGGACTTGCTCCAGGTTATGCAACAAGCCAGAGACAGCACTCAAACCTGAGCTCCTAATCTTGTGCTCCTGCCCTACCTGAAGCTGCCTCCAACTTCACTGTCATTCAACCCCCTGCCTTTGTTTTCCACCAGACCAAATCCCCCAACTTCTAAGCTGCTATCCCTCCTGCTTCCAGGCTGCAAGCCTGCTCCGCAGGGCGCCCTCCCCTGGTGTCTGTCTCCCATCCCCACTCTCTCCAGCTGCTACAGGATCTAGGTGGGGTCTCCAGGCACTCACCTGGTTCTCCTTGAGGCTCATGTAACCCTGTTCCTTGTTCCCAGAGAAGGGTTGGCAGCAGCGCCAAATATTCTCGCCTGGTCTCACCCGTTGCACAAAATTGGCTGGGAAGAAGCCAACCCGGTCTCCGATCTTGCCCTGGGGATGAGGTTGACAATGAGCACAGCACCACCCCCACTCCCACCCCCCACTGCTTTCTCTAGACCCAATTTCCACTCAGCGCCAGTGCCATCCTCCTCCAGTTCCTGGCTTCTATATTCCAGTCCCCAACCAGGTGGCTTCTGGGCCAGGAAGGGCATGAGGTGGGGCAGGGGACAAAGCTGAGGCAGGAGGCAGGGAGGGACAAAACTGAGAGCAAGGCCTAAAGGTCAGTCCTAGGCTTGGCTGGGGCTGGTGGTTAGAGGAGTGGAGATTGTTGGGGCCTAGAGAGAAAGGGGAGCAGTGTCCACTAAGGAGTGCTGAGGTGCCTACCAGGGTCCCTTCATTCCCCACCCTGCCAAGTCACCTTCCACCAGTCCTCGTTAGAGTCATCCACGAGCATTATGCGATCCCCAGGCCTGAGGAGGAGAGAGCTGGGCTGGCATATGGGGCAGGGGGCTTTCCCCTCCTAATCCCAGCAATCCCTGAGCACTTGGGTACCCTGCATGCCCCCCCTCAGTTGGGGAGGATTCTGGAAGCCCTCAGAGAACACTGTGTGACCACAGGCACAGCAGACACGCTCCAGGACAGGAGAAATAACATTAGCATGAATTACTTCTAGACCCTGGGCAGCTCTGGCTCCTGCCTGGGCTCAGCAGCCTCAGTGTGCAAGGAAAATGTTCCTGAAGGTCCTCCTCACACTTGTTTTGCAAGGTCAAGGCAGAGCCCTGAGGCTGGAGCCAGGCGGCTGCCCAGTGGGACTGGGTCACAGAGAGGACTTACTGCAGAGCCAGGTCATTGTTCTCCTGGGGCAGAAACTTGTAGAGCGCAACATAGGAGTACATGGGCCCCACATCCTTCCGCAGGGGAGGCTGAGGGGGCTGTAGGAAGAACTCTGGGTTAGATGGGGGAGGTGACACCCTCACTCCCCCACAATCCACTTGCTGCAAGCATGCCTGGTCTGGGGAGGTGTTAGGAGGGCACCCTGTGGGTCCTAAGTCAATGATACGGAGAAGTAAGCCCCTCCTACCTGCCATGCCCACCTGCTCCTAAGGGGACTAGGCCAGGCATAGGGTAGGGAGAAACCCTGTGTCCTCTGCACTGTGGAACTGCCTTCTCTCAGGGAGCATGAATGGGTGCAATAGGCAGCAGCTCAACCCCTGCCCCTGCCCCCCTCACCTGGCACCAGCTGTTCCTAGGGACCCCCACTTGCTGTGCTCTCATCTGCATCAGGGACCGGAGAAGCAACACCCCTTCCCCCCATCCTGCCAGGGCTCAGTGCCAGCACCCACCTGCTGTCCAGGGCTCTTTTCCTCTGGTCCTGGCCCTTCACTCTCAGTTGGGCCTGTGAATACCGGAGATGAAGTGGAGTGTGGCAGAAGGTGAGACAACAGGGAGGGCCCCCTCTGCACCCCACTCTTGCCCCTGGGGCTCACCTACCCCTCCACCCCCTGCTCACCACTGTCACCAGGCCCCTCCTCAGAGCTGCGAATACTGCCCTCCCCATCCTCCGTCAGCTCATCTCGCTCACTCTGGGGACAGAGAGGGGAAGGCTCAGGGCCTGGACCCACTGTCACGTTCAGGCCCCCCCAACTCCCTTTTGGTGCCCACCATACCAGGCTCCGTGTGGGAGACTCAGAGGTGCTGCTGAAGCTGGAGCGGTTCATCAGTGCCAGGGAGGTGCCATAGCGCAGGGTCTCGTAGACGGGATCCACCTTCCCGCTGGCCCCTGCCAAGTGACCACCCTCAAGGCCTGGCATCAACTGCTGGCCTTGTGCTGCCCTAAAGCGCTGTGCTCCAGCCTCAGCCCAGCATGCCCCAGACTGAACACCCCATCTGCACCATCACCTGTCCTACCCAGGGCTTCCTCATCTCTGTGACAGCTCCATACCTGCCCAGGGCGCCATCTAGGCAAAAACCAGGAGCATCCTTGACTCTCTGCTGTCCTTGGTATCCACAGCCACTCTATCACCTGGTCCTCCCTCTCAGAGGCCTCTAAAACCTGCCCACCTCTCTCCATCCCCATTGCTACCAGCCCAACTCAAGCTACCAAACTCTCTCTTGGCAACTGTCACAGCCTCCCAACTGGTGCCCCTGCTTTTACTCCAAGCTTGGCAATCCACACAGCAGCCAGAATTTGCTCTTGGAGAAATACACAGGTTGCCCTTAGAGCAGTGGTTCTCATTTTCTTTTTTTTGGCTGGAGCTGGGTTTGAACTTGCCACCTTCAGCATATGGGGCCGGCGCCCTACTCCTTTGAGCCCCAGGCACCACCCCAGACCAGTGGTTCTCAACCTTCCTAATGCCACAACCCTTTAATACAGTTCCTCATGTTGTGGTGACCCCCAACCATAAAATTATTTTTGTTGCTACTTCATAACTATAATTTTGCTACTGTTATGAATTGTAATGTAAATATCTGATATGCTGGATGTATTTACAACTCCTGTAAAAGGGTCGTGACCCACAGGTTGAGAATCACTGCCTTAGACTATGTTAAAATGGACACTAAGGTCCTATAACCACGCTCTTTACCTCTTCCAACTGGCTCCCTCAGCCCTGGCCACTTTACCCTTTCTCTAACCCTCTTGCTCCTTCCTGCCTCAGGCCTCCCCCTGCCCAAGCCAGTCTTTCCAGAGCCTCAAAGGACAAACTGTCCTCATCCTTCTAGTTTCTGGAAGCCTTCCCTTCCCTGACTGCTGAAGAGGACAGCACACACTGCACACTCTGTCCTCTGGCCCTCTCCCTTGAAGCATGCACCCCACTGGGGACTGACTAGTGACCTGTGATGGGAGACCTGTTGGTTTCAAGTCACCCTGTGACTAGACTAGACCATAAACTCCACCTTCTTCAGTGCTTTTCCTGGAATCTGGCACAGTACCTGGCACTGAGCAGGTGCTCAATAAAGTGTTTATGGAAGGATGACTGGTGAATGAAGAAATGAACCCTACATTCAGGACAGGAGCCTCCAGAGAAGGGAAATGGTAGGAGCACCAATAACCGGCAGTGCCAGTGTGACTCAGGCGCCTGTCTGAGCAATACATGGATCTCTCACCACAACACAATGGGGGCAGGGGCAACAGGGACACTTACCAGTGGGTGGGGACTCTCTGCTTATGGCACAGGCTGGTGGCGGCTCATGCACCAGAAGTGGGGAGCTAAAGTTGCGTCGGAAGGAGGTGGACTATAGCAAGAGGGGACAGAGAGAGGGTATGAGGAGGTCATAGCCTATCAAGAATGCAGTTCTGGGCTCGGCGTCCATAGCACAGCGGTTATAGCACCAGCCACATACACCAAAACTAGCGGGTTCAAACCCTGCTTGGGCCAGCTCAACAACAATGGCAAATGTGATAAAAAATAGCTGGGCATTGTGGCGGGCACCTGTAGCCCCAGCTACTTGGGAGGCTGAGGCAAGAGAATTGCTTAAGCCCAAGAGTTTAAGGTTGCTATGAGCTGTGATGCCACAGCACTCTACCAAGGGTGACATAAGTGAGAGAGACTGTCTCAAAAAAAAAAAAGAATGCAGTTCTGGTCTGGTGCGGTGGTTCACATCTGTAATCCTAATGCTCTGGGAGGCCAAGGCACATGGATTGCCTGAGCTCAAGGAGTTTAAGACCAGCCTGAGTAAGAGTGAGACCCTGTCTCTAAAAACAGCTGGGTAGGGTAGTACCTATGGCTCAAAGGAGTAGGGTGCCGGCCCTATATGCCGGAGGTGGCGGGTTCAAACCCAGCCCCGACCAAAAACTGCCAAAAAAAAAAAATAGTTGGGTATTATGGATGGCACCTGTAGTCCTGGCTACCAGGGGTCTGAGGCAAGAGGATTGCTTGTGCCCAAGAGTTTGAGGTTGCTATGAGCTATGATGTTACAGCACTCTACCAAGGGCAACAAAGTGAAACTGTCTT